GACCCATGCAGCGTAGCCCAATCCCTCTTGGTTCCGCGACAAGACTTGCTCAGGCAGGGTACCCTCCTGGACAATCATGCTGTGGATTTGCGACCCGTCAAAGGAGGGATCAAAGACAACATGCTGGTGCTCTCCTGGTTGGTAAACTAGGATGGGCACGTTGAAATGACGATCCCCCGCTGGCAAGGGCCAGGCTGCTGCCATAAGCATGTGTGCATCAGTGGGCAACCTGCCTGTCCTGGTCATTGCGACAATCAAGGTTGTCAGCTCTTCCACTACATCAAACTGTGGCAAGGGAACCGGGGCCGTTGTGAGCGTCATCCCTGCACCTGTAACAGTGAAGCGGACGGTAGTGGGTCCATCACTCTGCATTTCGGTTGTGGTTGTGGTCGTAGAAGTCGAGGTGGCCGCCGGAAGGAAGAGGCGGCCAATGCTGTCACGCCGGACTATGCGAAACCATTCCTCTGGAGAAGAAGCTCCTGGACCAGGTCCAGTTCGGCGATCTCAGGAATATCGAGCACAAGGGCACTCAAACCCGTACCCACCGGAGTCTGCAACACGGCAACCGAGCCTCCGACGCTTCGACAATCTATCGGTATGGCATGTGCACTAGCGCCTGCTGTGGTCAGCACAAATTGCGGCTCCGGTAGATCCGGTAGGCTGTTGGTCAGAAGTTGCACTGATTGGGGCAGCTCTGAAACCGAGTTGACCGCCGCATGGAAAAAGCTGGCCAGGGTCCAGTCGCTGAAAGCATGCAGGGCCATACTTGGTAGGCCCGGAGCCAACACCGAGAACTGGAAGGCGGTGTTGGCTGACAGTGCACGGAATAAGCACAGGTCCGCCAGAGGCCGGTGCACCACCGAGGACTGGCGGAGATACTCCGGACGAAGTTCTATGCATGCAGGATAAAGCCCGGCACCTTGCACATGATAAGGGTCGGCTTCCTCACTGGCTGCTGTAAGCAGGAGCGCCTGAGCTGGTGTAACACCCGGGAGGCCTGCAGAGTGTGCACCTGAAGCCTGTGGACCTGACAAGGCTTGCATGGCGGTGGTGGTCGGGGTAGAGCTACTGGTCGGAAGACCAGAGGCATAGTCCGCAGGAGGCCTATCAGGCAGGGGGCCCGAGGGAGGTGGAGGCTGCATTGCAAGCCACTGCCAACCTCCTTGCATGCTCGTCAGGTCTCTGAAAACTCTACCAGCATCATCAAACCAAACAACAGGGTTCCTAGGCATGACAAAGAGTGAAGGCATGACCGCACCGTCCTGAACCAGAGACGGCAAGTCAGAGATCCGGACCAGCCCTGGCATTTCGGCAGTGATGACTTCACTTCCTGCGCCCCTAAGATCACAAGGAACAGCGTGCCAGCCGGCGGGAGCCGCGCGTCGGGTGAGGACCAGCTGGGGAACTGGAAATCCCGACAAGGGCGACACAAGGACCCGAACATACCTTGTGGGTGCCAGTGCTGCTCGGATGGCATCCGCGACAATGTCCTGAAGAGACCAAGCGACCCCGAAGTTCCTGACTCGAGGTCGTCGCTGATGCTCGAAAACAGTATACTGTCGGCCTTGCTCTGCGAGCTCTGAAGCCGAGATCAAACCCGCTTGATCTACCGGAACCACAAAACCACCCCCTCTAACCTCAGGCGGGTCGACTGGCACTGGTGCAGAAATGCTGTAGGCCAGATGATTGGGGAGGGAAGGCTCTACCCACACGAGGGGAGCTGCTTGGTGTACCTGGCCCGGCCGAGGCACACCCGATGTGATGCCAAGCTGCCCACATGGTAAGTCAGGCAACCAACGAGAAGGTGTGCGGGCAGTAGGGTCCGACACGAAACCGCCCTTCCTGCCGCCAAGAGAGGTGGAAAGGTAGACTGCCTGCTGTGTCGGGTTGTCAACCTCCAAGGGAGATGATCCCCGGAGGATAGGTGTCTGATGCTGCCCCAGTCGGACAAAAGGACTGAGGCGGTCGGAGGTTCGGAAGTGCATCACCTCGGTGGTTGAGGCAAAGGAAACGGTCCTACGCCTAGCCAAAGAACAACACTGTACATCCCGCTCAGAGTCTTGCTGTACAATGCGCTGTGGTTCAGGGCTGGCTGGCCTCAAGTGATGGCTCGAAAGCCCGGTGAGCCTGTCCAAGGATGAAACTCTCGCCGCATCAGGCTCACCACCAGGGGCCATGAGGTGGGAGCTCCGGAAGACGAAAGAATCATCGCACTGAACAGGATCACACAAGCTTGCGCCTTTCACTGGGTCACAGCCGCACATGTTCGCGTCGAAAGAAACCTCCCATCCAGGGGTCTCACTGTCCGGTTCATATTCTCGCGGATCAAGGCACAGAGAAGAGGAGATCCCGCACATCGCAATACGGTGCTCGTATTGTCGTCGTAGACCCAGAAAGGCGGCGAACATTGGACTCACATAGTCATCCTCCGCCGTAACCGTATGTTGGTGCCCAAAAAGAGGCACGAACCACGGCCCCACGTATCCCGAAAGACTCGCCGTGGGGCCTAGCCAGGGAGCCCAGACGCGCCTTCCCCGGCGCCGGCTGGCTCTTCCTCCTTGATCTTGGCTGCTTTTGGGCCTCCCCCCTTCGGATCTGCTTTCCTCCGGGGCGATCGCTCTCTTTCCGTCTTGTCGAGGAAGAGAGCTTGGTCTCGCGCCGCCTGTGAGGCCGCCTGTAGAGACTGCGAGATCTGAGACTCCCGCTCCTGCATTTGCTGCCGGAACTGCTGGCGCTTCGATTCTCGTTGCAGCTCGTCGTCCACCATCTGCTCGCTTTCTTCCATGAGCTCCTCCTCCGAGTCCGGAACTGTTTCGATTCCTGCCGGGCCCTCCCCGGTCATACGCGCCAAGCTTTTGGTGGCCTCGACAAGCTGCTGGGTCCAACGCTCCTCCGATGTGTCGAACTCCGTCATCGCCTTGGCCTTCTCGGCCAGCTGCTTCTCCCATGCCTGGCACATCTGTGCCGTGTACTCCGACCACTTGGCCAGGAAGTCGCGGCGTGCGGCTTGAATCTGCGCTATCTCCCTTCTGGAAGTCGTCTGTGACGACACCAAGCGGTGCATGGCTCGTCCAGACACTCGGTGCTCCTCCGTGGTGTGCTCGTCGATGAGGTCCCTGAGGTTGTGCGGCAGGTCCTCGCGCGAGCGGTCCAACTCGCCCAGGATGCGCTGCAAAAGCTGCGCCTCGGCTCCCTGTGAAGGGGCCGCTGTGTTCTCCTTGGGCAAGCTTGGTACCTGTGGAACTGGAGGCACCGGTAGGTCCTTGGCTAGTGGCACAGCCGGAGGGGGCCCAGGACCCTTTCCTGATGGCTGTCCCGGCTCCTGCTTGCCATTGCCCTTGGCATGTGGTCTTCGCCCTCTCGGCGACTTTGGCTTGCCGTTGCCCTTGGGTTGGTTCCACTTGCTTCGCGACCTCGGCGAAGACGGCGTTCTCCAACCGTAGGCATTCCACGAGTCCTGTCCCCACGGTGCTGGGGTATTGTCCGAAGGCCCGTAGGTACTCGTTTCTTGCCAAGCTGCTCCGCAGCTCGAACAGAACTGAGCCGTTCCCTTGCAGAAATTCTTGCAGCGGCTGCACTGCCACGCTGCATGCTTGCTCATGGTCTCCAGCTTCCGAAGGGCCTGACCAGGCAAGTGGCTGGCGCTGTGGTGCCCGGCCAGCGTCCTGCTGGCCTCCTCCACAGCCCTTCTGGGAAAGCTCGCACCACTCAGAAAACTCCTCAAGAGCGTGCGAGCTCGCGTTCGCTGCCTTCGCAGCTTCCTGTGCCCTGCACTCTCCCACGCCAAAACTGCTGCAGGCCAGGAGGTAGAGGACAAAAAGGATTGTAGGAAAGGCACACCCAGGCCTAACCATAAACAGAAAAAGAGGAACCAAGGAGAACACCAGGGCGAAACCAGATCAGTGCTTCCAAGGAACCAGAGTTGACTGCCCGCCGACGGCGCAGGGCAGATGTTCGCGGGTCAGAGACCACGCTTGGGGTTTGGCTACCGCGCGACCACTAGGGAAACTGACGCGGAGCCGAAACGCCTGGATTTAAGGATTTAGGGTTTAGGGTTTTGAGGTGTGGGGCTTCTCTCTCTTTGGCAACCCTGGGGTCTAGAGTTGAGGGTCGTCAAGGCCAGCTTCAGGCCTTTGGTTTGAGCCGCTTCGGTTTAGGGTTTAGGGTTTAGGGGTTTTTTGAGAGCTCTTTTCCGTCTGCACGTGGGTGCGACCTACGGTTTAGGGTTTAGGGTTTTAGGGTTGAGGGTTCGTAACTCCGGGTTGTTCCGATGTAGCTGGAGGCAAGTAGCCGCACTCAGAAATTCTTCATGACTGTCTCCAGATTAGGGTTTAGAGGTTTATCACAGGCTTGCTGTAAGGTTTGAGGTTTGAGGTATACTCCTAACCAATGGTTTTGGGGTTCCCTTGCCTCTTTAGCTCCTTATTAAGTAGGGATTATCATCACCCCTGGATCCTTAGCTCCCAAAATATCAATGGTTAGTACACGTTTTGGCAGGAAGTCTTGCACTCGCGAGCGTTCTTCAACCTCTGCTTACTTAAAGGATCATGGGACTTAGTAACTAGGGTCATAATTAGGGTAACTATACTTATAACCCCAATTAAGGGTACTTATTACCCCAGTTACTAAGTCCCATGATCCTGCAAGTAGTGGACGACCTCGATCTCACCGAGATTGGAAGCTCCAGGGGGGGGTGAGGTCAGATCTCCGTTGCCCAGAGATCTGAATGGTTGCCAAAATTAAGGCTCCTTTGTTGGGAACCCTAAATATTAGCTGCCGCATTAAAATAAGGGCCCACAAAGGGTCCATAATTTTGACAGCCACCGACCAGTAAGGTTCAGGGCCCTTTTGTGGTTTAGGGATACGAACAGAGACCTTCTAGAAAACCCGTATTCAGAAGCTCCAAGAACACTCATAAAACCCGAACGGAGCCCTTCTAGAAAACCCTAAACCCTAAACCCGTATTCAAAAGCTCAAAGAAGAAACTTGGAGGCCCAGGCTGCTCCAATGTCATTTCCTGCACCCGGGGGTCCGGATCGATGCTGTTCTGCGCCAGGCGGTATCGGGCTTCTTGGGTAGCATGATGAGGGAGACCCCTTAAAGGGTACCCCTTCCGGACTCTACTTCTGGCTCTCTTAAAAGGGACCTTATTGAGAGGGTCTATATCCCCCAGGGTCCCCCTAATCCTAACTCCCACTTCTGCAGTCTAGCGTCTAGAAATTTACTTGGAGGTTCATGGGTGGTTATAAGTAGGGTTACAAATCCCCGAATATGGGTTATAAGTATAGTTACCCCACATACTTATGACCCTAGTTATAGCTACCCATGAGCCTTCAAGTAGGGTTGCAGTAGGGCTTCGGCGCTCCAGGTGAGGCATTTGCCAAGGACGAGGCCCGCATTGCAGGGTAAGTTCGGGGAACAGTTGAAAGCAGCTTCGATTTCAAAAGCTAGTTTCACATCCAGGGTTAAGGGAATAGGGTTAGGGTTTAAGGCTGTTTTCCTCATGACCCTAAGCCCGAAGCCCGACATTGAGTGCTTGAACGCATGGGGTCCCGGCAAGCATGCCGATCATGTACTCCTTGAACCTGCACACGGAGTCTCGCAGATGTTAGGGCTTAGAACTTGGGCTTTAGGCGATATGGCAATTCTCAAGCCACTGCGTCCGAGCCATCGCCGAAGAGCTCTCCGAACTATTGTAGTAAAGCTTGCTGTAGGAGCTCATAAAAGATCGTCCTTTCAGAAACTGTGGTACATCTTACTATAGTAAACACGATGTTCGCAACCCTCTAAATATATATATATATATATATAGATGTATATATACATATGCATATACATACACATGCACGCATACACATACATATACGTATACATATACATATGCATATGCTTATCCATATGCATATACATACGTATAGTACAATAGTGAACCACCAATTCTCTGGGCCTGTGGAAGTCCACAGGGTTGCCCTCCGCATCCAGGTGTTCTCGGAAGTGGTTCCTGTATTTCTGCTCCACCTGGACAGCCCATCTTCGACTCTTACCACAATATACAGGCCTGAATTATTAGAATACGGTTTTGGGGTCCATTATGCTACAATTACCATAAGGAACTCCCGAAATAGTGTAGATTATTATTAAGGGCTCTGAGGGCTACTACAATGGTCGCCATCATGGGGCAAGCCTGGGCGACGGTACTGGCGGGTTTCGGGCTCAGGGTTTGGGGTTCTTGGGTGTGACTCACACACTCAAGCAGTCATCAGCGAAAGCAAGGACATGGAACCTGCAACCACGCAAGCCCCAGCCCGCCACACACACTCCCCAAGAACATGCTTTGGCGTTTAGAGCTTGAGGCTTGGAACGCGCAAAGGCACTGCTTGTGCTGCTGGCAATCTCAGGACCCGACTTCGTTGCGGTCGGCATTCTGCAGGCAGGGATGGGCGAGAAGCAGCTCCATGCGAATGCCCGACACCCCCCTAACTTCCCAGATCAAGGTCAAAAACCCTCCACCCTAAACCGTAAACCCTAAACCCTAAACACTCAACCCTAAACCCTAAACCCTAAACCCTCAACCCTCCATCCCAAGCCCTAACCATTTTGGAGCGTGGGAGCATCTCTGCCGGCCTTGGAGTCTTTGCCATAATGAAGCATGGCCTCGAAGGAGGCGGCGATAACGGTTTTTGTAACGGTGGTACTGCTGATGGACAAAATCCTGCATGACCCTTAGGACTATAAACTATGGGAACTATAGTATATTCCTTGTAATGGGTAATGCAGGATTTTGTCCATCAACAGTATCAAGGCTTTTTCTGGTTTTTCTGGGTTTTGGGAAGGTTGTAGACAGACAGACAGATAGATATAGCTTTTAGGCTTTTAGAATGGTCGCCAAATGTCTTGGGTCTTCGGATTTACGGAATAACGTTACTACAAGTTAAGGGCTCTACCGGGTTCAAGTTTCATGTTTAGGGTGCTCTACGAGAACATGATTTGCCATTAAGCCTAAACCCTAAACCCTACCCTAAACTCCAGGCGTCATGGCCGAAGTACCCCCCTGGGCCGCCGGCGATTTTGTGGTTCAGCTTTATGAGCTCTTGCCTAGGTGCCGAGCGGGAGTTCAAGGCCCGGGGCTTCAGGTTTCGGCGCTGACCACTCGGACAATCCAGGCGAGGCATGTGGTCACACTGAAACCCCAGGCCACTCAGTACGCACACACGCTCCCCCAACAAATGAAGTACACCCCTGCTAGAAAGTCACGATCGGCCCAGGGTAGAGTTTTAAAAACACCTGACACTAGCATTAGTTGGGGAGCTCCACTAGCACATGTTGGCACAACTACGCTGATCACCCCACGGTTCCAGATTTAAGGTTCAGGGTGTAGGCTTATCTCGCAGCCCATTAATCAAAAATGACAAGGTCTGGGGTGGCTTCACTGTGTGTGTGTGCGCGGTTGCAAAGGGAAAGAGGGTGAAGAGGCTAAAGATTGAAGCTCGCAAAGTTCGAACGACTCCTGTGGCAAGGACTCCTCCAAAAAGCCGTTCTTGTTGAGATCCTGAACGCAGACTGCCCATTGACTTAGCAAGTAGAAAGTAAGTAGCTTAGGTTAGGATTAGTTTTGGTGTGTGGTGGTAGCAGTGCTATGTGGGACGGGACGGGAGTTTCACTACGTTGAGTCTGCTGCCGCTGGTTCTTCTGCCCCCGCGGCTGAATTTGGCTGCTGCGTTCATCGTTGTTGTTGCTATGCAATTTGCTGGCTGCGGCTATTGAACCTACTCTGGTGTTTCGCATGTAGTAAATGTGCTGGCTACCATGACAGACGTAGCGATTGTGGTGCTCATGGTAGTACTTGCGGCGGCTATTGTGATGTTCCATGTGCTGGATACAAGGAAAATGACAGTCTTGATGTGGCATCGACGACACTTGTCTGCCTGCTTAGTAAACTGGGTTAAACTGGTCTGTGTTCTACAGTACATGACCAAAAACAATTATGGCAACTCGTTGCCGCTGTCCCTTCGACCCAGCGCAACGTGCGTCCTAAACAAGACCGCGACATGCTCTGCGATCGCGCTAGCGGTGGTTTTTATCATCACCTCATTCGCAAAGATTTCTCATAGTCTCTCTGCCACTATCAGTTTTGCTTCTGCCAAGCAAATTCCAGGCTTTTTTGAGTTTTCCCGTGCACGCATTCCTGCGAGCGTCTGCTTATCATGGATACGGCTACTCACCACATCTGGCAATGCTGACCCATGGCTGTGGCAACCACTTTGGCGGGTCAACCAAGTCACGACCATTGCTAGGATTCTGTCCGGGATAGCCGATACCATTGCCACATGGTGATGGTTGTTGTGGTCATAAGTTGGCTCCACAGCATCACTAGATTGTGACTGCCAGCTTGGCTGTTATTGCTACGGCTGCAGGAGTCTTTGCAAGTGCGTCTTTGATTACTATCTTCGCAGGATTCATTCACCATATCAGGCCAGGTTTTGCTGCTAGCATTATTCTCAAGGTTGCGTGTTGCTGGTGCTATGCGGAAGGATCCTTGCTCCACTTCTCCCTGCATTTCTTGTTGTGAGTGCCATTGATATTGCTGTTGTACTGGCAGTGAAGTTCTCCAGATGCAATCTCTGGTCCATGTCAACTGTAAAAGGCACTGAAGCAGTCTGTTTCTCTGGTTTTCGGATTGGAGTCCCCTGAGAAAGCCTGCAGTCGGAAGAGCTCGCGCATCAGCCTTGGCAAACGAGGGTTTTGGGGCGTGTATTATGGTACAAAACTGCGGTGCGACTGTGAGGCGGGTGTGTTTAAAAATCACTAGTGAGACCTAAACTCCACCGGGCACGAGTGGGCCAGTAAGCGATGCGTGCGGCGTGAGGCAACAACAGATGCCCTTTCAAATGCAAGAAGGGAGATGAGATTAGTACAATTCAAGATATTCAGAGCCCCACATTGCCGCCCCCACTCCGAGACCTGCTTGTTGAACACCCTGCTGCCACCCCAATTTCGAACAATCCGAGCCTCAAAGCACCCCTCCTGAAGAGGAAGTTCAAAATGCGCGTATTGGATGTTCGGACGTGTACTTCTTGGCACTTTGGGCTTGGTTTGTGGTGTGTATATAAACGCCCTTGCTCGTTGATACCGACTAGGCTGCCTGTCCTGGTGAATGTTGCCACCAATATCTCAAAATCAAATAACTCATAAAATGAATAAGAAATATTTCTATTCTATCAAATTTCAAGCAGATTCTATATATAATATATCGAACGCTTGAAATTATGGATGGATGGATGGATAGCGGCCGGGGTGGGACAGCCATGGGCAAGGCGTCATCCCTCCCGCCTTCGCAGCCCCTCCGCCTTCGCAGCCCCTCCGCAAGCGTCAGCGGGGCTCCAATTGGAGTTCACGTTCCCACCGCTCCAGAGAAAGATAACCCGGCCTCACCACGACCCGCGTCCCCTCTCTGAAGAGATATTTTCTGCTCCAAGGCAGGTGTATGTTCAGCAGGACGGACGTAGGTCCTCGTGGGGCCTGCTATCCCAACCATAAGAGCAGCTGTCGTCAGACTTCGAAACATGATGCTGGTGCTGCGACTCTGAGAAAGGAACAGCAGTAGCAAAATGCAGAAACGATGGCAATCATCGTGGCATCCAGCCGTAACAAGACATTGCACAGAACTACTATGACGCGTTCAATTTGCTTTAACTAAAGCGAGGACAGGGAAAGAAGAATAGCAGGCCGCAGAAAGCTACACATGTACCCTGGGTGGCAAAACCTTCGCCAAAGTTCGGCCCCCAACAGAGCAAAAAAGGTGACACCCTAACTAAACACTGAAGTCTACCTTGAGGATCATGTAATAGCTAAGGTTACAAATAATGCGAAATTAACTCTCTCTATATATATATATATATATATACATACATATATATATATATGTATGTATACTTATGACCCCAGCTACTTTACTGAGCCCATCACTTACCATCTTCCCCAGAATCCTCCAAGGAGGGCGAGGGATTTTCTGCCTTAAGCCCGAAACCATGTAGACCCTAAACCCTAACCCTTTCTACCCTAAACACGAAACATGCACGCCCAAAACAGCAAGTGCCCGGCGAGTCCAGCTGAGCCTTCGACTCCTGATAGTGCACCCGCCCTACTATAGGGGCCGTAATACATGGCATAAGGATTATGATAGGGGTTACCATGAGGATACTATTGGGACTCTAAAGTTAGAAGAGAGTTTTGGGGCACCTTCTTGTATGAGTATATGGCCCTGAGGAATATGTAGTATTGGTAACTATTCAAGCCCTTATATTACGCCCCAAGACTCGATGTCCTCAGGGTTGCACAAAGGCTTTGGAGGGTTTCTATCGGGTCTATTGTCTCTATTGCGCTCTATAGCGCTCGGCCTGTAAGTCGTAAAGCTTCTAGAAGCCTCAGCCCTGCAGTCAACAGTTAAGTAAGCCTCGCACCAAGACGATCCTGAACCATGTGAATGAAGAAAACGGTTCTGGGTTCGGTTTGGGGTTTCATGGGCCCTTGAATGCAATTAATGACCCTAAGCTTCTAAACGCACGACCAGATGTGTCACGTCTGAACAATCTTATCCCAAATCCCTAAGCCCTACACCCTAGGCCCCGAGCCCCAACCCTCAAGGAAGCGATCCAGCCAACCGAACAGGAGCGCCCTCCTTTCAGGTTTGGAGCTTGACTGTGGGGTTCAGGGATTCGGCTCTCGCCGGACTGCCCCCTAAACCTGAAACCTCAATCCTAAGCCCAAGCCAAAGCGCTGAAGTTTCGAAATCCATGCAAACGGCTGTCGCTTCTTTCCCAATCGAAGCCACCTCCCGCGCACGCTCGGCAGCAAGCCGTGCATCACTGGGCTGAGCCTGCTGACCTTGACCACTGGAGTGTACATAAGCGGGTTTCCGAAAATTAGGGGTACCTTATTCTGGGGTGCTTACAATAAGGATCCTACCAATTACGGTACTATATTAGGGTCCCCATGGATCCCTGTCACACGGCACGGTTAGTTTGTGCATGAAACCGGCCCACGTCTTTGTCAAATCGCTATTTAGTCTTGGAGGCAACTATGCGTCTCATGCGGTATTTCCGATACAAGCACAAACGATCTTTGCTTATTCGCTGTTTGTAGCACTCCAGGTGCAGAGCTCAGGACAAAAAATCGGAGCAGCAGTCAACTGACTGTAGGATTTCTGCCGTTCAGATGTCTTCCTGCGTTAAAGCTTTGCAGGTCGACTATACTTCAGGAGAAACCGCTACTTTTGAATCGCCACGCATCACATCAAAGAAGATGAGTGACCGTGGCTTCGACAGTCTCCAGAGTCACATGATGAATCTGCCTTAGGGACCCGGCGGGTCACACACTTGACCTGCCGTGACGATTTCGGCGCCAACACACGGACCAGCCGTGACGGTTTAGGGCTTAGGGTGTGCGGAACCTACCACAAAACAACGGAACCCAGCCGAAATGCTTCAAGGTAATATGCGTTCTACAGGGGCCTCACTACTTAGGTTCGGGCCCAATATACTATACTCATAATAGGGAAACCCCCAAATAGTATAGGTAATTATGAAGGCTCCTGTATTACAAGGTGTCGGCTTAGCGTTCAGGGCTTGGTCAATGGAATTCTCGGTTTTCGGCCTGACGGGAAGGCTATGAAAGCAAAAACGCGACGGCCCGGCGCGCTGGTTCTCGTCCAAGCACAGCAACCATCCTATTCGACTTTCGGTTGTCTGGAGGGATGAAGGGCCCTCGAAGGGTACTACAAGGGCTCTTTCCAGGGTTCCGTTAATCATTCTGTAGAGTGTGAGGTTTCGACTGGGCGCAGATCCACGACAACTCCAGTCCACTAACGACCCTGAGAGAGTCCGCACCCAACAGAGAAAACAAAACCCGAGTGCGACAAAGGCATGCAAGAACCTGAAACCATAAAACTGTCAGGTAGTAACCGGAAGTAGAACCAAACGTGGACGCTCTGGCAAGAAACTACTGGATCCCCCCGGCCCATGACGCGCCACGACTCTCTCAGCAACAGCACGGAACAAATCAGAAGTCAACCAAATTGAACGAGAAGAGTTTAATGTAGGGGGCCCTAATAATTAGAGTAGGGTTTTGGGGATTCCTGCTTATAGTTACAGTATAGTATACCCCAAAACCCTATTCTTATTATTAAGGCCCCTATATAAAGGTTTGGGGTAAGGAGTTGTAAGGCCGTCTCCTTTCTTCACTAGCCGGTGCGGATTGCGAGCATTCGGACTCGGATTGTCTGAGGTTCAATGACATTCAGCCCTTTTTTTGATCTCGTGCGGCAAGTAAGTTGTTCAAGGCCCAAGACAGCAGGAGCCGCCAGCATGAGACCCCGCTGCTTTCATTAACTCGACATTCGTGTGTCCCCAAGGCTGAAAGCTTCAGCCCGCAGACCCCGAATGCTTAGCTGCACCATCCAAGAGGCCTCCGCGGTGCTTCTGCAACTGGCCTCGTCAACGCGGGAACCCGTTTGTTGAAAAAGCTAGTAATACATGCTTACCTACATCCATCCATGCATGCATGCATAGATGCATACATGCACACGTGCATACATGCATACACGCTTATATGCATACATGCATGCGTGCATACGTACATACCTACATCCATCTATGCGTGCATGCATACATGCGTAATCCACGGATTACATACATGTGTGTATATATATATATATATATGTATGTGTGTGTGTGTGTATGCATGTATAAACGATTCCAAACCTGAAATCTGATCCTACTACACCCTCCGTGATGGTTTCAGGGACACATCCTAAGCCAGCCAGAACCAAGCCTAGAGCTGCGTTGGAGTTCCCCATCGCGGCGTCGGAAAACTGTGCTTTGGTAGCTTGGGGGTTTTGAAGCTTATAGGCTTATTTGCCTGCGTTCATTCAGAGCTACTGGTTGAGTGCTTTGATGCAAGGAAGAATTTCAACTTAGTCTGCGGATTGAAAAGTGCACGCCCCGTCGGATCAACATTCCAGATAAACAGGCAACCCATGCCAACTAACTAGTATTTCGGTATGAACAAATACTGACATGCAAAATGGTACGAAGCCGTGCAGGGGCCGTGCAGACTCCTAGTTCCTGACAGCGAATAATCATTCAAAGCCTGCGGGGCCTTCTAGGGATCTATAGGAGTTTCGGGCTGCAGGGCCTGGAGCCAAAAGTATCTTTTTGGCGGCGTTTTCTAGCATGTGGAAGCAGAGTACAAGCCGGAATTCCTATATCTAGATCCTACGGCCCAACATCGTGATGCATATCTGGATGCATTGCCATGTGGGTGGTTGTCAAAATTATGGTCCCTTTTTGGGTACCCTAAATATTAGGGGCTGTATTCTAATAAGGACCCAAAACAGGACCCTAATTTTGACAACCACCCACGTGTATAAACCTTCAACGAGCGGTCCGGAGCCGAAAGCGTGAGCAACCGTCATGCGAAGCCCGAGGTGTGGATACGTCGGCTCGCGACTTACCTTTGGTTAGTAGGGTTCTAAACCCACCTTTGGCTTAGGGGTTTAGGGTTTAGGGGGGTGTTTAGGAGGGTTTGCTTACCTTTGGTTAGTAGGGAATGGAGGAATGGGGTACAAGTATAACTACTATTACTACCACTCTTCCATTCCCTACTAACCAAAGGTAAGGCGACAGCTTCTCAACACCAAACACCTCAACTGCAGCACCTGAAACCTAAAACTCCTAAACTTTACACGCCCCTGAAACCTTAAACTTCGGCCCTAAACCCCTGAATCTTAAGGGTTTAGGGTTTAGGGTTTAGGGTTTAGGGTTTAGGGTTTAGGGTTTAGGGTCTTAGAACACATCGAAAGCTTACCCTTGTGGCAAGCCCCTCTACTTTTCCACATATAGCAACGCCCCTCTACAACCACGAAGATCATCAGCCCTCGCAGCCTTTGGGTATCCGCACGCGGATCCCAAAACCAACCTCAAATCCGTCAATCTCTAGACCCGTATCTATGAAGGGTCTCGAATTAAGGATTTTTGGGTTTCGTGCCCCGACAAACCCAAACCTAAACCCCAAACCCCTGAAGCCATAAGTCCATACCCCCCTGAAATTCTAAGTCCCTTGAAGCTCTAAGCGCCTGAAATCCAGCACCCCGAAAACCCCAAACTCGAAGGCCTTTACTTACTCTAAACCTTACACCCCAAGCCCTCAACCGTAATCTCTAAACCTTACGCCCTCAGCCCCTAAACCCTAAACCGTAGAAGCTGCCCCCACCCTGTAATAGTGACTATAAGGATTATATTAGGGCCCTATGATATTCCTATCATAGCACTATAACAGGGCGGGGGCCCCTTGTAACCTATCCTTATGATGAAGGCCCATGATCCTTTAAGTACACCCTAAAATCCCCCTTGTAGAACCCTTATAGATCCCTTTAAAGCATTACAGGGTGGTGGGCCCCTTCTAACCTAAACAAACCCCGAAAAAACCCAGCCGATCAAACCCTGTGAGGCTTCCACGGTCCCAGACTTCGGGATAAGCTCGCTACTCCCCAAAAAGTAGAAGAAAAGATTTTAGGGTTTAGGGTTTAAGGTTTTAGGGTTTAGGGTTTAAAGTAGAAGAAAAAATATCAGCTTTATAATAACAACCATCGCAATAAGAATGAGAATGAGTATGTTGATGATAATATTTCTCACTGTAAACGATAATCGTACTTTTTAGGGGGGCCAAGACCGGCGTGATGCGGTCTAGGATCTGAGGGTTTACCGTTTTGGGCTTATGGTTTAGGGTTTGGGGCTTAGGGTTTAGGGCTTGGGGTTTAGGGCTTAGGCGGGAGTTTGGCTACTTAGGCTTACGGCTAGAAGCTTAGGTTGGGGAGGTCGGACTTCTGGGTTTAGGGCTTATACTGCGGTTGATGATATAAATCCTGCATTTCCTTAAGGACCCTAAACTATCGGAATTGTGGCATATTCCTTATTATGGGTCACGCAGGATTTTTCTCATCAACCGTGTCCGTGTCTTTGTTTGCTACACGCAGCATGTCTTTGCATGGCGTCTGCCATGGGTAGATGGGTGCACATGCTCGTCGGCATGTACTTGTTTCATAGTCATGGTCTAGACCCAAGAGTAGCCCAGAAATAAAACGGGTGCCCAAGGGGTATAAGGGCCTACTCTCTAGGTCCTCGTAATTGGATAGGTGCTGACGAACGTTTCGCTTTTCTCGCTGAGCAAGGCTGAGCAAGGAACGAGTTCTTGAAGTCAGCAACGATTTCCTGCTCTACGGCAGCGAAACTGGCTAGACCTCCGACGGACCTGCGCAAACCGCACTCTGTGGCAGGGAAGGCGGATCAGTCACATTGACACGTCCAGAGCTCGTCGCTGCAGGTGCCGATGCGAACTCTCCCCGACAAGGGCTTCCGACTCCCTGTACTTCTCGACTGGCACTGCACGCCTAAAGAGGCGATGGATAAGACGGCACATTAGTGCCAATATGTGTTCTGCATTATCCTGCATGCAAACGCATAGAAGCAATCAACCTCTATGCATCTGGTATGCAAATGAATCAAATGAAGTTCTCACGTGGGCACATATGCTTCTTCGCATCTGATCCACAAGTTAACTTCTCACCGCAACTACAGATGTACATGTGTATGCGTACATGTACAAGTCCGTAGGTATGTGAATTTACACTTAGACCTGCAAACACCTGTCCGCGTGGCTGTGTACATACCGGTACGCAAATCCGAAAATGCTTCATGTTGATATGCACGCATGAAACGGGACCTGGACATGTACTACTTGCACCAGTACAACCTCGTACATGTCACGCAACTTCACTACCCGTTTGGCATAAACGATGCTGCCGACAGAACCGAAGCAATCCGATGCAAAAAAGGTTGTGGGTTCGAGATAGCCTCGCCTGCTCTTCCCATGTGCAGTCGGCAGCCATGCTCGCGAGTCTGCACATGTCGGCCGATGCAAACTAACAGTTCACAGTACACTGCCGCAGTGGCAATTGCAAGTTTCGATACCAATGAATTTGAGCCCTTCGTGGGCCTAGCGCTTGGAAAGCATAGTCAGCTTGCCAAGAAAACTACCCAGGCAAGCGGGGGGACGCATCCGGATCAATGCATGAGATTTTTAGTTGGCAGACGTCCGTCCCCGCGCGACGTCGTGGGGATCTGCAATACTGGCTTTGCCCAGGAGGCCGTTTTCCCATAAGGGAAAGGCCACCAAAACCCCACAACTGAATACTTACTACGCAAATGCACATGACGCTGGGGCACAAGAGTCAGTCCAGGAGTTCGGGTCTAGGTGAAGAGAGCCTACATACACTCTACCCCAGCGCAAGAAAGCTATGCCCCCTTGCTCATCTGCTGCTCCATCCGCTCCACCTTAGGGAAGCAGACGCGTTGTACAGGAATTGAACCGGAAGACCACAAGCCTCATGAAAGCCTCAGGGTTTGCGGAATAGCTGACAGAGGGATCGTCAGAACCCTGTACGAGGGTTTAGAGTCTGCACTGTGTAGATTTCAAGTTTCCCCTTTGATCCCGCTTGGGCCATGGATCGAACGTGCAATGCAAACCGACATGGGGGGTTTGGAAGCAGTTGCTGGTGCAACTACGGAAGAAATGCCCATTAAAGCCATGGCAGTAAGCCAACAGCCAATGCAGCGCTAGCGGAGCACATGTTCATCTCTCCTCACATCTCCTTGCTGCTGGCAGCAGCAATGCTCATGCTGAGGACTTCTGTAGCAGTCTTAGACAACGAAGATGAAGCCGACAGCCAAGCTGGCAATGTTAATGATGTCAAGACAGCGATGGTGTGGTCATGATGACCAAAACGATGCCCAGGGCCTATGATGATAGTGCCATGAGATGGCAGCCATGCTCGGACTCTGGGCACGTGCGTTGAAGCCAACTTCACAACACAAGTGCTCCTGAGAAGGTAAGGCTAAAAGCAGATCTCGGAATACTTTGGCGACCGAAATTTTCAATCCAGAACCCTAACCATGCAAGAGAAGAAGTCGCCCCAATACTCTTAAAGCCCAAATGGCCCGCTGGAGGATGTCCCGCACACGCAGGAGAATTGAGACCACATCTCCCTTTGACACATCACCACGCAGGCCCATGAGGCCGTTCCTCAGTCGCTGAAACTGTTTCGGTTTAGGGTTTTGGCGTCCAGGGTTTTGGGGTTTGGGGTTGAGGGTTTCGGGGTTTAGGTTTTTATATATAGGGGCTTAGCGGTTTAGGGGTTTTGGGGGTCCAGGGTTGTTTAGGGTTTGCAGAGGAGGAGGTTCAAGGTTTAGAGACTGGGATGTTCCCCCAAGCGCGACTATTCGTTGAGAGTGCCCAGCCTTGATCCTAACGAAACTAGAGCAGGTGATTATCTCGGCTGATGCTAAGAGAATTTTGTATTCCATTGATGAGGCCAAGGAATTTTTTTTAGAGGCACAGATGGCCCGACTGCAGCGGTACAAGGCTGATGCCAGAGTCACGAGGTGTAAGGTCGGGATTGCGCTGAAAATCTTCCACCCTATGGTCAGAAGCTCTGGGCCATAGGAAGCCTTAGGACAGGAAGCAACAAGAATGGGCTACTGTATGCATATCTTTCACAAACATGCATCCGCCCATGCATAGCTGCATACATACATACATACATGCATGTATGAATGCATGCACAAATATAGATGCGACAACATACGCTGGGAATGCGAAATATGCTAGAGCCAAATGCGGGATGTGCCAAAACAGGTTTACCTACAATTCAAGATCCTCCGAACCTGCATGCACGCAAAACCAGCTTTAGACATGCATGCATGCAGGCATACATACGCACACATACACACAGAGAAAAAC